CTTCAGTTTGGTGTAGTGGTTAAGTGCGCGGACTCTAATCTGGGAGAACCGGGTTTGAATCCCCACTCCTCCACACACAGCTGCTGGATGACCTTGGGCAAGCCATAGTTCTGTCAGAGCTGTCCTTGAAAAAGGGCAGTTTCTGTCAAGAGCTCTCTCAGCCCCACCCACCTCACAGGGTGTCTGTTGTGGGGAGGGGAAGGGAAAGGAGTTTGTAAGCCACTCTAAGACTCCGAGTGAAGGGCGGGGTATAAATCCAATCTCCTCCTCCTCCTCCTCTCTTACCTTGAAAACCCTCTGCGGGGTTGCAAGTTGTTTTGCTACTTGATGGCACACAATTATTATATTAATGGCATCACAGCTTACAGGACTGTATTTGCTCCTGTGGGCATCGAAGCCCTTCACAAGAGACGGAGGCGTGGGTCGGAGAACAGTGACACAGGCTCCTCATACATGTGGGAAGAGATTGGTGTTAATGCCGTTATGGGCCCAACATCCAGATAAATACGTTGGGTTGGATCCGGTGATAGATTTCCTCTGTTGGGGGTGTGTGTGTTGCTCATTCCCCCTCCCAATGTATAATTCCAAATACTCCCCGCAAGCTGTTCCGGTGGGGAGCCACTGTCTCCCAGGAATAACATTTTGTGTTGCAGTGGGATGGGGGAAAGTGAGAAACTCCTGTTCCGCTGATGGGAATCCCCTTCCGCAAGTGGAAATCAGGGCTGGATCCGACCCATTGCGTGCTGAGTGGGTGGAAGCTCCTATTGTCCAGGGGTAGAACAAGAGACAAAATGTTCATTAATATTTTTTTTTAGTCTTGCCTTCCCACCATGTATGGCCTTCCAGGTGTAGGGTTGGCCGCTCTGGGTTGGGAAATACCTGGAGACTTTTGGGGTGGAGCCTGGGGAGGGCGGGGTTTGGGGAGGGGAGGGGCCTCGGCAGGGTCCACCCTCCAAAGCAGCCATTTCCTTCAGGGCATTGACCTTGGTCGTCTGAATATCAATTACAATAGCGGGAGATCTCCAGGCCCCACCTGGAGCTGGCAACCCTATCCAGGAGGCTCACGCCACCACTGCCCATCAAAATCTGACCCATTAGCAGCATGCAGACACAGCTGGTGGACAGATGTTTCAGAGCCCACTCTCCAGTGCTCGAAGTCTTCCCGGGCTGCTGTGGACGTGCTGCTGTCCCCAAGGGAATGACATGAAACCAGGTTGTTAAGACAGAGGAGTTTTCTGGGCTGGCAGAAATAGGTCGCAGTTGTTCCCCCTCCAGATTTTTAGCGGCACAGCAGCAGCTTCCTCTGAGAATGCTTTGCACAGGGGGACGAAAGGCCAAGTTAGACATCGCCCAGGAGGTGCCTGGAAGAAGTCTCCCAATACTTGTGGCGGCCTTCAGACACGTTAGAGAAATGCACTTTCGGTGGGCTTTAGCGAGGGTTACCAGCTCTGGCTTGGGAAATTTAGGAGATTTGGGAGCGGGGAGCCCCGGGGAAGAAGGCATAATCGGGGGAGGAGAAGGGGTTCAGTAGGGATATGAATCCATGGAATGTATCATCCAAAGCTGCCGTTTCCTCCAGGGGAACTGGCGCCCGTTGGCTGGAGATCAGCTCTAATTCCGGGAGACCTCCGGCCACCACCTGGAAGTTGGCAGCCCTAGCATGAGTGGTCATTTGCAGCACAGGATAATCCATTTGCAACACGGAATAAATGATTGCTAAGGTGGATCGAGGGTGCATTGAAAGTACGCGTCTGTGTTTTAAAGAATGAGAGCGAGTGAATGGAGGTTGCTTGTTCAAACTGAGAAATGGCAAGGGGGGGGGGGGGTTTTAGCCTGCTCCTTCCCGCTGTAAGTGCTAGTTGTCTGTCTGGCATACCACATGAACACATGAATTTGCCTTATACTGAATCAGGCCCTTGGTCCATCAAAGTCAGTATTGTCCACTCAGACCGGAAGCCGCTCTCCAGGGTCTCAGGCTGAGGTCTTTCCCATCACCTACGGCCTGGTCCTTTTAACTGGAGATGCCGGGGATTGAACCTGGGACCTTCTGCATGCCAAGCAGATGCTTTACCGTGGAGCCGCGGTCTCTTCCCCAGTGATACACAGAGAGTGATTAGAACGTAGAATTGACTCCCAGAGGATATAGTTATGGTCACAGGAATAAACAGCTTTAAAAGAGAATTAGGTAGATTCATGGAGGAGAGGTCTAT